GTTACATCCCGCTCCCAGAGCCAGCCCCTCACACTGTATCCACTCCAGGGGAAATTCACACCCGAGTGCAAATCACAAACGAAACACGTGACACCTTCTCTGTAGCTCATCTTCATAAAAGCAAGGAATTATTATTAATCATTATCTTTGTTTTAATATAGCAAAATGTACCACTAACATTTTTGGTCAAAACTATCTTTCACATCCACCTAATCTGTTTAATATAGAGGCTGGGAGAAGCAGACATGCCTGATGCGCTGGCACTTGCTAAGTGCCCTCACCTTCCCTCTCTCTTTGCAAATCAAATGCCAGTCAGAAAACCCATCGTGTCTGAAGGGAAGGTCAAAAACAACGATTGGTTTAGCCTCACAAAATAAGATTTACGTTTGTTTTACAGATTGATGCAGTCTGCAAGACCTTTTCAGCTTTGGAAACCTGACTGCAGGTAAAACGTGCACAGGCAGCGCTCAAGCGGGGAGGCCGGGGCCCGGCTGGCGGGGCACAGTGCGGGGCTCCCCGCCAGCAGCTGCAGCCCGCGTCCCACTCCTGACGCCTCTCCTCGACCCTTCCCAAGATCCACGCAGTCTCTGTCTGAGGAAGGTGCGGGTCAGGACTGCGGGACCATTCCCAGCTGCGGCTACCGGCCCACCCACAACCGCTGGCAGCGCTTGCAGCGGGTCCCGCTCTGCTAGCTGGGCTGCACCCCGACTCCCAGCCCGCGCCCCAACACAGGCAATGCAGCTGCTGGGAGCCAACAGCCACGTTCTGCACCACAGGAATGCTGGCGGTGGCCACGACACCACTCAGCCTGGAAGCACCCCAGGATGCTTTCAAAAATACCGACCCAACCAGGCGCTAAACGTCCTACTGTTTGCCTCATTCCATATAAAAACTATTAAAATTATTTTGCTAGACTTGTTTTGTCTTTTTAAAACTTTCCCCTTTCCCCTGGCCTTCCCACCTATTTTGCTTTGATCATTTTTAAAAGTCCTGAGCAGCAATTTGAGAATTACAAAAAAAAAAAAAAAAAAAGAGGCAGCTCTACCTAGGACCACAGCAAGTGCTTTAACAGCAAGAAGTTGTGTCTTTCTGCAGCTGATGTAAATGTTGGTTAATTCACAACACTGAGAATTTTAGAAATAACAGGGCTAATTCACTTAAGTCTTACATCTTGTTTAAGACTTCTACCGTAGAAGAGCAAAGCATATGCAGAATGCCACCGACCACATACACGCACAAACACACGCACATGTGGGTCTGACCCACAACGTTTTGGATCTGATTCAAGTATGAGCAACTGCGGAGAATGGTAAAAAACTGGGTTGTTTGGTAGTTAATTTTACATCCTAAATTAAACTAAGGAGATTGTGTCTCATTTGTATCAATGAGGTCAGGAATACATCCCCACAGCTAAAGTGTAAACTGTAATAACTCTTTCAGGATAATTTTAAATTAACATTTTGGTTTTATTCCTATTTCTCTGCACTTAGATTAAATTTATTTGGCAGGTGAAAATTAGAAATTAGCTTTAAAAAAAAAACAAAAAAAGAACTGGAAATGACTGACCTTCAGATCGCTCTTTTTTAGCAGTCAGCTCTGGAGCTCATCTACACTTACAGGATTAGCTGCTTGTCCATAGCCACAGAGGTCCTCTGGGAATCTCCCTAGTGCAGGCACAGCTTACACAAGCAAAACAGCTCTTCTGCTAGGATAGTGCAATCCAGTTCCCCAAAGGGAGTAAGCTATGAAAGCAAAAGAACATTTTTCCATGTAACTACAGTCATCCCAGGGCTCCTGTTCACACAGACCTGTTGGTGGGTTTTTGCAATTGTATCAGATATGACTATGACAAACGTTTTAAGCACAGATGAAGGCTCTGAGCACGTTCTGCGGCACCCCCAGTGTCGCAGGTCCCTCGGCTAGTGCCCAGGCTGCAAAGCCAGGGCAGAGCGCTGCAGACCACAGGCCTGACGTCCGCTGATGAGCAGACGCATTTCCACTCGCCAGCACTGGCCAGGAACCAGGCTCCACGGGACAGGAGTCTTCCCAACACAGAAAACCCATTTTCTATTTTTTCTGTGGCATGGTTATCCACATCTAATACTATTCAACAACAGAAGAGATTTCTTGTAAACTTCGTATTTATTGATTTTTTTGGGACAAATTAGATCTTCTCAATCCCAAAGCATACATATATATATATATATATATTTATATATAGCTTTCTCCATAGGGAAAAGACATATATCAAAGAGGGAGAGACATTTCTAAAGTGCCCCTTGTTATACAGTACTGAACATGATTTCTAGGAGCATTAGGGTAAATGCGAAGTTTCGGTGCAAGAAGGACAGGTGAGGGAAGGAGAGCTGTGGTTTGCTCTTCTCCCCAGGGGACAGAAGAAAGTTTTCCGATTTTAAAAAACAAACAAAACCAAAGAAAGGTTTGCGCTTACCACGGAGAATGCAAGCGAGAACAGGGATGATCTGGGACATCTGCACCAGTTTACGGCCTGGCAGATTGGGATAAACCTTTCCTCAGGTGAAGCATAACACTGATGAGGGAATTCAGACATACCTAATTACCTAACTTCAATGAGGAGAAAATGTAGCAAAGAAAGAGACCTTATCCACAGATATTACTACTGACACTGTTATCTTTAAACCATCAAGAAAGCAAGTGAAGATGAGGAGGTCAGCAGGATTGTACTGCCATATAGTAAAGGCTGATACAGGTTTTGCACCAGAAAACCTGTATCAAATCAAATGGAAACTCTTCTCTTGACCCCTTGCATATTTTACTGTGGAAAAGACAGGCAGGGTATTCCCAGGCTTTAGGAATAACTTTGTGCCACTGCTAGCTATCAGTTATATCAAGCTGATCAGCCAAAAGAGCTACGCAGAGGCCAGAAGAAAGTAAACTGATATGGGACCACGAGCAGAAAGAGGATAAACTTGCCCGTGCTGCCGGTGCCCCTGGCGCGTGGGCACCGTCCCTACTGCGCCGAGGCGCCCGATCTCTCCAGGGATGGGAGAGCGCGACGGGCAGCCAAGGCGGACAGCGGTTCCTTCTTCCCGCCCAGCAGCTACCACAACCAAAGCCACACGCCTCCCAAGGAGATGGGCGGCCCCTCGCCCGCGCGCGGGGCTCTCGAGGGTTTCTGAGGAACAGCTCTCCTCACACCTCACGCTCATGTCCAGCAATGTCAGTTACAGACTGCCCCTCGCACACAGAGAGTCTCGCCAAGAAAGCACCTGAGTGTATGAACCGGACACTAAACCTCTGGTTATTGAGTTTTCCCTTGTAGTGTTAACAGTGCACTGCAAAGGAGAAAGAACAATCTATGCAAATGTGGTTTAAAGACAAGAAACAGTTCCCTTAAAGACCTGCCCATTCTACTGCAGAAACTGTTCCACCCAGAACGTGGACAGTCTCGAACTGACAAGTGTTTTTCTAATTACACTCCTGCCCCTGTTTACAGCAGTCCATAAGGAGGCAAAAATCCTGCTGGAGTCAACAGGTATTTTGGACACATACAGACCACAGGCTCCCACAGAAGATACTGACTACAAAGGAGATGGAGCACAGCGAAGGTGGCCCCCAGCCTGCTCAATCCCATCTTACCTCCTCCTCCAAACCGGTCTCATTGCCAAACTGCAACTGCTCAGACGCTAGCAGGGACCGTCCTCTTATCCTGCCTCAAGGAAAACGTCCACTGGCTACGGCAAGAATTTTGCCTGGGTAGTACTGCAGTCTTTGAAGAAGAAGATGGAAAAGAAGCTGTTAATAGCAGTAGCACATGCAGAACGGTGCAAGGAACATGAGCAAGATCATTAACAGTAGCGCACTACACATGTAACGGTGCAAGGAACAGAACATTCAGTCAAGAACGAAACCCATCCTGAGCAACCTGCCCGACAGGCTGGCAAAGATCAGCAGAGACAAATAACATCCCTCATCTCATAACTCGTGGCAGTTTGACAATATGGGAGGATCTCACCTAACTATTGGAACAGGACGGTTACGTGGTAGGTGAGGTTGTTCTTTGGTGCATGTTCCACTGTGATCTGTAAGACAAACTGTCAAGTTATTTATACCAATCCCATGGAACACACTGCTATCCTATATATTTATACCAATCCCATGAAACACACTGCTATCCTATAAAAAAAACTAGATTTGCTTTTTTTTTCCTTCCCAAAGAAAGAAGACTATCAAAATGGTTTGCACTTCAGAGCATATCACATACACATTCATGCTTTCTCTAAGCCACCAACTATTCCACAAAAAAACATGGTCAGTTAAGGAACACAGAAAGGAAACTCTTTCAGCAGATCAACTTAATTTGTCAGACTTCTTGTCCCTAGTTCTGTTCTTAGACCTGATAAACATACTGCAAGTTGCTAGTTGAAAATAATTGTCCCAGTCGAAACAAAAATCTGGGAATTTGAGACTGGCACGAAGAATCCTAAAACTGGGAGAGCTATGAACACAATTTTGCAAAATGAGTTATGGCATTAGCAAAATCAAATCAAATCAAAAGAACAATACCCAAATCCCACCAAACATATGGTCAATTATTAAAATAATAAAAACCATGTATTTCTTGACATAACTATAAAGATGAAGTCATTTATGAAACTGCAACAAATGAAGTCCAGTTATGTATTCTTTTTCCTTTTATTAGACAGAATTTCCTTAAAATGCCATAACAAGTCACAGTGATCTTAGATTTTTTTTCTGAAATGTTATATATTGAAGGGAAACACTTTTAACATGGTTTACCTTTTTTTTTTTTTTTTTTGTCACTGTATATGTACCCTGGTCCACCAAACCGTCTATCTTAAATTTTCTTGTTTACAGAGGACACTCTGTCTTCTTCCTCCAAAAATGAGTATTGTCTAATTATCCTGCAAAATAATCAACCTTACCAAAGGCCTCCCTCAAATGTTATATTTATATATATATGTATATACATATATATACACACACATACACACATATATATAAATATAGACTTCTATGATTTTTTTTTCCATTCTACGCAACATCTCAATAAAGAGATTAACAATTTTTATTCTACAAAGAAGCAACACATGAAAGGGCAAAATTAAAGTCTTAAGAACATCATATCCATATTTCACTGATTACACATAAAAGGAAAAAAAATCACCATGAACAACTGTCTTTAAAGTATTCTCTGATTAACAAAACAAGTGCAGAGAGGCCCCGTTCCATTAGCCCGAGCAGGGCAGTGACTGGGCGGTGGGGGCAGCCGCCAGGCTTCCCCACACGGGTTCCTGCTATTCTCAGTTTTCTGCACCTCTCCCCCTTGGAATCGGCCGTGTTGGAATGTATGGAGTTTAGGAAGGGTTCCCGCGAGCGGCGGCAGCGCGGCCCGCCCTAGGCCAGCTTCAGCGTGCTCACGGGGAAGGAGGGCATGGTCACCATAGTCACCGGGTTCAGCACCGTTTGCCCAACGAGCTGAGGGTGATGCACAACTTGGGTTCCTACAGCAGGTTTGGCCATCACTGCCGGCTGGCCAAGGTTTGTGGTTCCGTTCACTTGCTGGTGAGAAATAGTGTGAGCGATGTGGCTCACGACGGGTTGGCTGACGGCCACGGGCTGAGGGTAGATGGGCAGCTGCTGGCCGAGGTGAGCCATGTGGTTGATGGTGGCTGGGTGCACAGTGATGTGGCCGATGGGCTGAGCAGCAGTGGTGAGTTGCACAGGGCTGGACGTGGAAGGTGCAATGTGAGCAATGTGCTTGGTCTGTGGACCCTGAATCACGTGGTTGACAGTCTGAATGACCGAAGCGTGGGTAGTGGCGGTGTGGGCAATAACAGTCGATTGCACTGTTGAAGCCGCCACGATATGAGTCTGTGCTGGCACAATCGCCTGCGGCTGGACCAGTGCTTGTGTCTGGATGGGAGGCTGTGCGTGGGCAGGGGGTTGTTTCTGCTGTATAGAGAGGTGCTGAGGCAAAACTGCTGGGTGATGTGAAGTAGCATTTGGAGGGACGGCTTTCAGCAGCTCTGGGTGCTGGCGCTGCGTTAGTTTTGGTAATGAGTTCACTGGCCTGTCATCTTCCATGTCTTCATCAATGTTGTCTTCACCCTCTGGAAAAAAAAAATGAAAGGAAGAGACTCCCATAAAAAATAAAGCAGAGCATGAACTGGGCTACCCAGCCTTATTGAAGGGCAGCAGGGGAGCAGCAGGCGAAGCAGCTGGTCCCGGAGCCAGGGGAGGGCAGTCAACACTGCGGGCTCCAGTGGGCCCTGCAGCGGCACCAGAGCCTGGCCCACCGGATTCGCCGGAGCCAGCGCAAGGGGCTGCCTAGGAACGGCTGGGAGCGCTCGCCCGGTAGGCCTGGAAGCAAAATCGGCCCCTAGGCAGAGGCAGCAGTGAGAGCAACGGCCCTGAGCCTGGGCACAGCTACATAGACAGCGCTGCGCTCTTGTCTGAGGGCGAAACTCCATCTGGGCTGAGGAGCACTCCCTGCCTAAGGAGAAATGGGCTTCCTTTCCTGTCCAGTTATTCTATCAATTGGCATCAGCCTTTCTGCTCCAGAGCGGGAAGTAAACGGGGGAACACGGCAGCAAGGTGCTCGGTTCGGTTCTGGAGCAAGGGAGCTCTGCCCAGTCCATGAGCTAGTGAGCCAAAGCAGGAATATGCCCAGCCTAAGGAGACCTGGATTATGAATGCTGCCTGCTCTGAAGCCAAGCAGCAGAGATTAAAAATCTCAGAAGATGAGGAAGTAGCAGGAAAATGAGGAAGATGCTTCCCTTGGCAAGCCCTGTGTTTAGCAGTAGTTTGAGGCAATCATTTTCAGGAGATGCCAGCTGGAGAGCTGAATGGCTGACACTCGTATTTACAACGCGTTCCTATTCTTAACTTCCATGGGCCTACGCTCAGAGTCTGTTCATACGTTCGAAGGTGACAAGCCCAACACAAACAGATGAATGGAAATAGGAAACTCAGGTTTTCCCTTCCTGGGACCTGCTTTATCATCTGCCTGGAGTGGCAAGAGCAAATTCCATTTGTATTTGGAGGAACTGTTGCAGATGGTTCCCAACTGCTATAGCCTTCCAGTCTCTGCAAAGCAAAGCACTGCACATCCACACACTGCCTGTTTTTCTGGCTACTGATCACTGGTAAGGTGAAAAGCAAATGTCATAGTATCTCACAAAAATTTCTTAATGGGAAGAGCATGCATGAAAATGATTTCCTTCCATTAGTATCATTTAATCTTCACTCTGAATCCTTCCCAGGTAATGTGAAGCCTCTCTAAGCTGTTCCAATGCTCTGGTGACCCTTTCTGCACCAATTCCTTTTTTACATGGCTGAACATCCTCCTAACTCCATGCACAAATACATCAAGATGCCTATACGCCAAGCGGTTAGAGCAAGCAGTGATGCAGATCTGTGCAACAGGAAAACTAGCTTCGTGTTTCAACAGGTGGATCAGCAGGCTGACTGTGCAACAGAGCTTCGTACTTATGTGACACTGTCCATGCACAATTTTCACTGTACTTTACAAAGGTGAGGATATATTATTAAGTCAGTATCCGTGTTTAAGTAGAGGACTTTCAAATGCCTTCTAATTCTGAAGCCATTGTCCTGATTTCTAGACATGCTCCCTAATCCTCACTCTCCTGATTCGTTTGTAGGCTTCTAGAAGCACTCTGCAAAAATCTGAACATTTTACTCTGAAAAATCAGACATAAGAAGGTGAATTTGGTCACCTGCGACTTGATGAGCTCTGTCAGAGAACAATTTTAAAAATGAGTTCCAGAGCTTGTCTGGCTCTGTCATTAGTTTCAAGTCTATTTCTGATTTCAACTTCTAAATGCAAGTTTTAGAGATATACTCGAAGTTTAGCTTAGCTTACCTACCTGATCATGCACATGAATAACTTCTCCAATTTCTTCCAGGAGATGATTGCAATACCTTGTGCACTTTAATTTAACCCACAACTGGACATCAGGGCTAACCCACACACCATGTCCCTCTGCAACCTGCAGCATTCAGCTCATTCAAAATCGTTCCTGAATCCGCCAGAATGTAGAAAAAGTGATATTTTCTGTTTAGCTAGAATCACATCTTTTGCAATAGCACTGTAGGTGGGTACCTAATGGTGGAAGCATTATTACTAATACTATTAAAATACTCTTCCCCAAACATTTCAACTAGCATGGACCAAAGTAATGCATATTTATTTTTAAGTGAATGCAATTTATCTCTTCTCAGGTTCTGTTATGAAGCAAAAAAAATGTGCTAAATGAAGATTCCCGCCACAATATAACCACGTCTGTGATGCACAGTGATGATTACAACATGAACAGAGAAACCCGGGGTACCTGATGCTGTCGAGGTAGATGCTTGGTCATCCTCTGGCTGAACTGTCTGACGAATAATTCTGTCGATTTCCAAGATGTCCATCCACTGGCTCAGCTCGTTCTTCAGCTCTGCCAACCGCTGCTGGGTTGCGATCTTCTCTCTCGCTAGCCGCTCCATTTCATGCTCATATTCTTTTTCCTTTCTCTTTAAAGTCTAGAGATGGAAGGAAGAAAAAGTATGCAAGAAGAGCAAAGGCAAGTATAATCTACACAGACCTAGTCACCTCCAAATCCATGAATGGCCTTTCTTTTATTATTTTCATTTATTACCCGTTCATAGTTCTGCCTTTCAAATTTGAAAAAAAAAAAAAAAAGAAAAAAGAAAAAAAAAAGAAAGCAAGACAAGAGTGGAGCAAGCAAACCTGAGGGGCTGCTGTGGGCAGGTGCTTCCTGCCTTCTGTGGGAACGTGGAGCAGCCCAGAGCAAAGGCACCACTGCGGATCCGAAAGGCTGGGCTTAACCACGGCAAGCGTGAGCAGGGGCGACTGCTCTCGGCTAAGGGCTGGAACTCCAAGGTTATAGCAGACTGACAGGGAAATGCAAAGGAGGTGAAAAGGAGGCAGCTCCCTCCGCATCTCCAGGTGACAGAACATGTGGTACCTGTTTGATAGCCGTTCAAATGGTGCAGCTACAGTGGCTCTAACTACATACATATGACCAAGCATATTCAAAGGAAGAGGAGAACCGACGCAGAGAACAGTGCTGCAGAGCAAGTGAACTGGTCACCACCTGAAAAGGTAAAAAATGCCCCACATCCTTGAAATGAAACAGAAATTCTGTGGAAAACTGCCTTTATGAAGGATGATAAAATCATAAGCCTATGTGTGTATTTCAAAGATAAGGCGTGTAGGATCAGATAGCATCCTGTAGCAAACCAAATGATAATAGTTGGGGGAAGAGAGACAAGATTTTGGGACAGAATCCCAAACAGGTCTGCACAAAACCATGGCTTGTTTCCTTAACCTCAGGTTGGCCAGTCCATAAATCACAAAGAGAAAGGGAACTTTCCTTCCAAACATGGTCGGTAGGAAGAAAAAACACAACAGGATCTAATTAAGTTTCTGAGCAACACACCCCACAAAGAGCTCTAAAGTGGAAGAGCTGGCCAAGAGCACCCTGCGTCCTAGGGGACACACCACGAGGAAGAGGAGCACCAGTGGGGTGCCTGCCCATGCCCCGGCACCAGTGCTGCAGCCTGCAGCGTCCACCAGCACAGAGGGCAAGAGGCGCCTTCCCAGCGAGTGCAGCACCAAGCTGCAGCCGACACCGCTGCCTAGTTCTGTTAGCCGGGAGCGTGGGGAAAGGAGATCTGCTAGGGGCCAGTTATTGAGCTGCAGAAAGAAACAGCACAGCTGATCTTCGCAGAAGTTCAAGCCGACTGTGACAGAGAGAGTAACACCAGAGTAAGAAGCCTTCCTCCAGGCCGGGCCAGTCCCGGCACAATGCTGCCCGTTCAACAGAGAGTCCCTCCAAACGCAGTCTGCAACTATTCACAGGAACTAGGATTAAAGGAGAGCAGAGAAGAATACAGCTTCCCAAGGTCCACAAAAGCACTCCTTGCTTGCACCTATCAAGCACGTTCAGTGCATTTGATCTCCTCTGCTGTGAGACTCAGGATTCAGGTACAGACAGGGCGGCTGCCCGGGCTTGCAATCAGTTACCAACGCTTAATTACAGAGAAGGGAAGCGAACCCTTGGCAAAGCCTGCCACAAGGCTGCTATCAGCGGGGCTCAGGGAGCTCCTGTCGGCGCCGAGTAACCCTCCTCCCTCATAGATGCGGGAGCGCCACGGCCTGGGCACAGATCCAAGGGGAGCGCCCCTGGGACCGGGCTGTGTGGCCCAGCTCCAAGCATCGGGCTGCATGGCGCCGCTTCCAGCCCAGCCCTGGGACCGCGAGGGCTCCACGTGTCGTCCTGCCCTCCCTCTGCTGGGAAGCGCGGGGCGGCTGCCAGCTCCCGGCAGCCCCGGTGCGGCCGGCCGCTCCCCGGGCACGGGGCCAGCGCAGACGGGCCGCGGGCTCCGCCGACAGGGCACGTGTTCAAAACTGCTCACCATGCAGCTCACAGAGGCTCGTGCTGCAAAGGCAGATACGACTGTGTGGCCCAGTAACAAGGTGGGCAAAGGCAGCAGCAACGTTGTGACTGGCACCTCTGCAGGGGCCGGTTCTGCTTGCCCTGTGCCCTCCTGGCAGCCTATGCGGGACACAAGGACCTGCCCTCCTCTCCAAGCGACACACAGAGCCCACGCACAGGGACACCACTCCTCCCCAGGGAACACGCAGAGCCCAGGCAGGGCCCAGGGACCCACGCAGGGCCCAGGCAGGGCACCGACAGCTCCCACAGAGCCCGGCAGGCTACCCCGCAGCCTCCCCCCGTGCAGGCGCTGCAGGAGCAAACCCTTCCAGGTGCATGGCAGCAGCCACACGTGCACCTGGGGCGGCCGTGGGTTCCTTCCCGCTGCGTGACCCACTTCCCCAGCTGCTGCTCCTGCTGCAGACTGCCAGCGGCAGCCAGGGCTCTGCTAAGACGCTCCGAGCTGGGATCAAGATTAGGCTGTCTGCCGTGGCTGGGAGGGGTGCGCATTCCCCGGCGTGGGGCCGGGCCCCGAGACTCAAACCCTGTGCACAGACACACCTGGGTTGCGGGTCTCCCTGTGGAGGGAGTCGACTGAAACGATTGACACGGTCACATCCCCAGATCCTCCCAATGAGGTTCTGCTTCGTTCTCCTAGCAGAGGACAGGCTTGGAGTCCCCTCCAGACTCCTGCGGTTGTCCAGCTAAGAATAACTGCACTGAAAGAAGGCAAATGCTGAGCAGAATTTAAACCAAGTAAGTTCAATCAGAAACACTATGTAATTAAAAGTATCTCCAAACTTGTAACTACTAAACCAGCCAAAAATTCCTGCCGCATACCTAGCGGCTGAGCAAACACGCAGCCTCACCAGATCATCAATGGACTTGTTTCTTATCTGCAGCAGCCCCTTCCGCTGGGCAGCAGGACGGGCTCTCAGATGGCGCAAGCTTCAGGACAGCCGCGGCGAGCAGGAACACGGGGCGAGCGCTCGCTGCGGCGCTGCTACCAACGCGGGCCGGATTCGCCCCGGGCAGCGCGGGGAGGCTTCAGCGGCTCCCATTGAAGTGCTCTGCCCCTCTCCCTACCAGAACCGGCAGGAGCTATTGAAAAGGTGGAAATCTCCAGCATTTCAAAGTTCATCTGACTAACTTTGAGTTACCTGTGTGAAAAAACTACGAACACATCCAACTGAGTTCATTCCTAATGTGCAAGCACATGCATTATGGGCCTCTGCTTAGCACGCGTTTCACATATGGAGAATGTCTGGCAAAGGCGAACACCCAGGGAAGGGCTGCAGCAAGCTCAATGCCACGGAAAGCTCTGCTGTGAGCGAGCACTTGGGGCTGCTGCACGTGTCCCACTGCCCAAGCCGGGCTCGACTCCCTCCCGTCTCCTACACCGGGGTTAGCTCTCCTGCCAAGCCCTGCATTTATGTTCTGCTTTAACCTTTCAGACCCTAGTCCAACCACGCACCCACGCTGTGCTTAGCATTAAGTACACTGAGTAGTGTCACTTCCACTGATAGGAAAGCTGTGCAAGCTCTTTCCTAGGCAGAGCTCAAGAGGCCTGCAGTAGTGACTGGAGTCCTTTCATCTCCTAATTAAACAGCAGTGACCAAATTACAATCCAAACATGGGTTTGCTTTTGCTCCCCATGAGAATCTATTTTTTTCCTTTACACGTAGCTGTCAACTTCAAAGCAGCCTTCACTCACGTGGATTATTAAAGCCAAGGCAGCACAAGTGTCCTGACAGCAGCACACAGTGCAACTCGAGTTGTACCATTTTGCCCCCTTGTGCTCGTCCTTCTGCCCATTTCAGAACTGTTATTTGGTCCTTGTGTGCATCCCTTCGCTGCTACTTGGTAAACAAACAAGAAACAAACTTCTGTTGTCACTACATGGCGACAGCCATTTGTCACTGTACAAGTATTTCCATTTTATAGCCGGCTGTAATTAAATTACTTATTCCTACGTCAAGATTGAAAATAATGCTCCCAATGCCTTCCCTATGCCTCTTTGCCTGCATAATAATGCTAGCCCTGCAGTTGGCATCAGTGAGATTTAAAAGGTCTTATTAAAAAACTCCCTGTATAAACATCATATTAACAATTTAAAAAACACTTTCAATTATGAGCTTTTCAAAAACGTATTTTAGCTGCTGTGCTCTGCCACGCGGTACACGCTGATGAGGAATTCCTCCTAAGGAAGACGAGAGAGATGAAAGATAAAGAAAAGAAGAATTGAAACCAAGAGCTTTTTTCTCTGCATCTATAGTCAGCTCCATATGCCCATTTCCCTCCGTGGAACATGCCCTTCAGTGACAGTCACCTACACTAGTAAAGGTGACAATATCAGCCTTGGGTTTCCATGTGAAGGCTCATGGCTGTACCTTCTGGGAGCAGTACCTGGATCCATGGGAAGCGATGTTGGCAGGAATCGGCTCAGGAGCAGTCCCGCGGCTGCAATGTCCCTGTAAGTGCTTGCACAGGGATGGGCGCAGGCAGGCCCAGTCCGCGGCACAGAGCTGCCGCTGTAGCTCCCGTTCCGCCTGTACCTTCCGCCTGTGCGAGCCGTGGCTGGTCTGCACAGAAACAAAGCTTTGGTTTCCCTGGCAACCGTTCCATCCGGGTGGCTCCACCGCTGAAATCCAGCGGTGGTGGCAGCCCAGGTGCCGCCATGGAGGGGAAAGGCAGTTCAGGTCCCTGCACAACCACATCCCTGTCCGCGAGCAGAGCAACCGCTTTGGCGCTGCCCTCGCCCACGCTCCCAAAGCAGCGACTCGCACGCAGGTGTTTGCACGGGCTCAGGAGCATCACAGAGCTCTGAGTAAAGTCACCCACTGGCAACTCTACCCAAACCACTTGAACTACAGCACATTTGCCACGGGCCTTCACACAAGTCTTAGCCCAGCACAGGATTACAGCCTTTCATTCTCAGGGATCATGTAATGGTGCAACAGGCTTGCTCCAAAGTTACGAGGAGTTACTGCAAAGACTCGTCTGGTTGGGGTCAGTGCTGAGCAGGGCAGCACTGCTCACGGGCTCCCTGCCTGAGCTTTCCACAGACAACCCACCCGCAGG